CAGAGTCTCCTGCCTGCCCGCTGCCAAGCAGAGTCACTAGGGGCCTGCTTGAATCTACAAATGCAGTTTCCCATCACTGCATCATCGTCCACATCTCTGACTTTTTGAACAAGCTTGGCTTTCATCTCCTGGGCTTTTCCAGAAAAGCCTCTTACAATTGGTCTGAGGCCTTTTGGTGTTGCCTTTTATCAGTTACTTTCTCTCCTCCTGCCTGTCTCTCTCACTGAGACATTATCCCAAGGTCAGAATAAAAACCCTGCGAGAGGGTGGGGTGGGTGACCTGCTGGCATCCAGCCCTGGGCTCTCAAACAAAGGTGTCTGGTGCCATCTGCAGCCAGACACAGGCACACTCAGTGCCCCAGACGTGGCAGGGCATCGGGGGACGGGCCTGCCGAGGGAATGTCCCTGGGCACAGGCAGCCGGGACCCTGAGACCACCAGAGGTCATCTCCTGAGCACTGCCTCTGGAGGCTTCTCCAGAACTTGTCCATCTTAGTCTTCAAATTTCCATTTCCTCCTTGAGGGAGACCCACCCAGACCCAGGCCTGGGCCTGCTGCCTGGCACCTGGCCACGGACTTAGGAACCAGCTGTTTTAGTTCCAAAATTCTCAGGGGTCGATCGTCTCTTTCAGGTAACGTTCAGTGTGCTTCGTCTCCTGTGAAATTGAAGCACACTGCTGCTTTCACAAAAATTATCTCTTCTTTCTGGTAAGAATTCTGATAGCATGGAGTCAGAAAGGACACGGTTTGAGGGAGAGGAAGTGGTTTCTAGTCTGAGGGAAAGCCAGTGGCTGTACACAGCGCTACGGGGTGTCTGTGAGACCCGGCTGTGAGTTGAGGGTTCTTGCAACATGACTTTTAAACCCCTGGACATTTATGTTAGATACCTTATTTTCAACTTTCATGACAGTTCATTATAAAAGAACAGACCTGGGGCTTCCCTGTTGGTCCAGTGGTTAAGACTCCTCACTTCCACTGCAGGGGGCATGGGTTTGATCCCTGGTCGGGGCACTAAGATCCTACAGGCCACGCAGTGAGGCCAAAATAGATAATAATAATAAAAAATAAAAGAACAGACCTTTATGAGAGGAGCTAGGAAGCACCCAGAGAAACAAGTGAGGCCTTTTAGGTGGTATCACATTGACGTTACTCTAAACAGAACCAGGACTTCCTTGGTGGTCCAGTGGGTAAGACTCCATGCTCCCAAATGCAGGGGGCTCGGCTTCGATCCCGCATGCATGCTGCAACTAAGAAATCTACATGCCGCAACTAAGAGATCCCACATGCCGCAGCGAGGATCCCGAGTGCCTCAACGAACACCCAGCGCAGCCAAAAACTAATAATAAATTTTTAAGGAAAAATAAATGAATAAACAGAACTGTATGGGTCTTCCAAAAGCCTCCCAGCTTTCTTCACTTCAGTTGCTCTGAATTCAGGCTTTTCTCACTGAGAACAAGAAAAGGTCCTAATAGGTAAACAGTGTCCTACTGTACAGCACAGGGAACTATATTCAATGTCTTGTAATATTGAATAATAGAAAAAGAATCTGAAAAAGAACATATATGTATAACTGAAATACACACACACACACACACACACACACACACACATAACTGAATCCCTTTGCTGTACAGCTGAAACTAACACAACATTGTCAATCAACTCTACTTCAAATTGTTTAAAAGGGGGGCGGAAGCAGACGTCCTGAGAGGGCTGGCTGCAGGGGGCGGGGCAGTCGCCCACATCCCAGGCCTTTTCTCTCCGTTGTCTGTCCTTTCCTCTGCTTCACCTTCCTGGCTGCCCCCTGAGTATTGATCTAGAGGATTCAGGACACTTGCAGAGGTTACCCACTGGCCCTGGAGGAGTTCTTGGAAAGTTTAGAGTCAATCAAGTCTCTCTTTTTTTTCTTAAGTGCACTAGCTAAGATGCTGGCTAGCTAAAGTAGTAACAAATGACTCCTTCGGCAAAAAGGACACTCTCGGTAGTGTGCACAAGTACACACCATCCGCTGTCTAAACGAGATTGTCCAAAATTGCGCTCTGCTGGAGAAGAGCACGTGGTAGGCGGCCTGAGACCCAGGGGTCAGAATTCAGGAAGTCTTATTTCACAGTCAGATTTCCCAGAGAGGGCTGAGACAGTTTGCGGTAGAGCAATAATGTACTTCCTGCTGCACGGCACTCAGCCCCGGGGCTCAGAGCGGGAGACCTGCCCGGGCCCCTTTCGTTGGTTGGGGAAACTCCCACCCACGTGTCTGCAGGCTTTGTCACAGATGAAGACTTATAAAAATTATTCTAGTCTTTGAATTAGGTGCAAAACAGCTTCTCCACCTAGAAATCCACTGCATAATCCTGGGTGATTTGCATTTTAAGGCAGATCTTGAATTAAAATGCCCCAGTGTGTGTGAGAGGGTCAGTGCAAGGCTGGGGACACCCCCCAGACTCCCCAGAGAGATGAGGCCTGGAAATGGGGGCTTATAGGGCAGCAGAGCTCTGACCATCATGCACACTCCTGAGTGAAGCAAAGCCTCCCTTTGAGGCTTTACAACGACCTCGAGGTGTGAATCATTGTATCACTGTGGCCGGCTGGCTGGAGAGGAACTGAAAAAATGAAAATCCTCATGCTGCTCATTAGCAAAGGGAAATACGCAAATGCTGAGGGTCCCTGTGTGTCGGGGCCACACTCTTCTGCTTTGATCTGTTAAGCAGAACGCTCTTCACGCCCACTTTAGGCTCAAGCTGAGTGTTCTTTGCTAGCTGGTGTCCGTGTACCTGAGGACCTTGGTAGAATGCTAGCAATGAGGGGCTTTGGAAAATACAGTTTTTAGCGTTAGCCACTTTAACCAGCGTTAGATCCATTTCGTGATCTAATTCTCACTGTAGACTCAATTTTCTACAGCGGGGTTTCTCCACAGTAGGACAGTAGTTTGAAGGCTACACTTGAGGCCAGATAGTTCTGTATTACGGGGCCTGTCCTGTGCGTTGTGGAGGGTGGGTAGCATCCCCCCTGCAACTGTGACAACCAGGAATGTCTCCAGACATTGCCAGATGTCCCATAGGACACGAAATCACACACACACACCCTTGGAGAATCACTGTTCTGTAGGAAAGAGGCAGTGTGAAATATTTAACCTTTGTCCTAAATTAGTTGTGCTTTTAAAATAGACCCTGAGATTTTACATACGTTTAACACCTGTGTGTTATTGGTTTCTCCCCTGTGTGGGGTGAACAAGACTTTGTTCTCTGTGAGTGGCCTTCCCAGAAGCTCAGAATCTTCTCTCCCCTCTTCCAGTCTGCCCTTCCATGGTATTCTTATGTTGCTAATAATTGACCTGATCTGTTCATTCATTACTAGGTCATTAGTTTATTAATTCTAAACACTCATTCATTCATGTAACAATATACTTAGCAAGCTCTCACCGCAGGCCCAGTGGGGAGCAAGCACCACCTTGTAGCCAGGATTTCCACACATTTGATGGCACATCTGCCTTCCTCAGGTCGTTTGTGGTGAGGGCTCACAGTTTTTGGAAGGCAAAGCTGCATCTGACATGGAGGAACCCGATCCCTGGAATCAGATAGACTAAGGTTCAAATCGCGCCTCCGCAGCTTACAGTGGACGTAGCCTTAAGCTAACTATGGAGGCTTGTGTGCCTCCATTTCCCCTTATGAGCATGGGGGTGATCTTGTTGACCTGGCAGGGTTGTGGGGAGTCTCAAGGAGATCATGTACATCAAGCATCAGTAAGTGGTAATGATGAGGAAAATCGTAAATTTTCTATGGCAGGACAAACAAACAAAAAAACAAACAAAAACAGCAACAACAGATGACATGCCACCTTTGTGGTAGGCCTTACCCCATGGGCAGTGTGCATCTCAAAGCAGGAGGATGAGATCAACCTTTGAGCAAAAGCTGGCCCCTTTCTTCACATGCCAGCATTGTAATTCTATGATTAATATATTTCTTTTTCATTTTCTATAAGGGGTTGCATTGACTAAACAGTTTGTCTCTACATGCATAATTGATAAAAAAAAAAAACACTTGAGGAACTGTGTACACAATGCTGTCAATGTGATACATAATTTCTGTGTCTCAAAAATATATAAAATTGTGGGACTTTCCTGGTGGCACAGTGGTTGAGAATCCGCCTGCCAATGCAAGGGACACGGGTTCGAGCCCTGGTCCGGGAAGATCCCACATGCTGTAGAGCAACTAAGCCCGTGCGCCACAACTACTGAGCCTGTGCGCCTAGAGCCCATGCTCCGTGACAAGAGAAGCCCACGCACTGCAACGAAGAGTAGCCCCTGCTCGCCACAACTAGAGAAAGCCTGTGGGCAGCAACGAAGACCCAACACAGCCAAAAATAAATAAATAAATTTATTAAAAATATATATAAAACTGCATTTCTAACGCCTGATCAGTGGAGCAGTTCTCAGAGCTTCTGATAATCTGTTTCCCAGGTTATAGTACTCAGTTTGGCTCGAATACAATTCTCTTTTCTTTCTTCCTAGCTTGCTGGTTATTTGATTTTTCGTTGACGGTAACTTACTGTCTGCCAGCTGGTAGGTTATACGTATGAACTGACATCTTGGTGGGTCAAAAACAGTCAAATATTGGCAACTTCCTTCAGTTCAACCTAACATGGAACCCTGGGCTTCGATATCACGCTGACTCGGTGGAGGTCCAGCAAATAAGGGAGGTGGTCCTGCCTGCTTATTTCCAGAATTCCTGCCCTCTCCCTGAGGATGCATCCTGCCGGCACATGGACCTCAGAGAACAGAGAGAACAGACCACTCCCTGCCGTCCTCAGCGTTCACAATGGCTTGTGTTTCAGAAGCTTGTACTGTGGGAAATTGCATTGTTCCAGCCAGTTTGTGATGGGGTAACCTGGATTGTGGCAGCTCCTCGGTCCCTTGTGGTTGTCTGTATTTCTGTTGTGTTGTTGTTCGTTCCCTGGGTGCCCATCTTGGGTGGGCATTGCTCTGATGTCTCTGTGTTCACGTCCCAGGTCTCGCTGCTGATTGCCTTCATCTGCGTGAGGAGCTCTCTGTGGACCAGCTACAGTGCCTACAGCTACTTTGAAGTGGTCACCATTTGCAACTTGATCATGATTCTCGCCTTTTACCTGGTCCACCTCTTCCGCCTGTACCGCGTGCTCACCTGTATCAGCTGGCCCCTGTCGGTAAGGGAGTGGCCGGGCCTGCTCTCGGCTTGCATGAGTCAGGACGCAGGCTGGGCACTGAGACCTGACGGAGTCCTTCCTGTCTGCCTACCCCGCCTCCTGCACCATCCTTGGCTGCTTCAGCTCTGAATTTCCCACTGTTGGGTGCACGTCTATGCCTCATATCCCACTGGTTGGTTTCTAAAACTCACCTTCCAGCTACAAGAAGGCTGTGCCTCTCACCTCGGTGCTTGTTTTCTCAAGTGACAGAAAATGGGCTGTGTGTGTGTGTGACTTGGAGGAGGAACATAGAAGGAAGAAGCTGATAGGGGTAATGGGTATTTACACCGTGTGAGTATTGATAAGATTTGTCAGCTAAAGTGGACTGGCAGAGTCTGAGGAAACATGTCAGAAGTTGCTAGGGTTTTTTTCTTCCCACTATATTCTTTTTAAAAACAGCTTTATTGATATATAGTTCACATGTCATACAATTACCCATTGAAGTGTACAATTCAATGAATTTTAGTGTATTCCCAGACTTGTGTAACCATTACCTCAGTTATTTTTAGAATGTTTTCATCACCTCAAAAAGAAACTCTGTACCCATTAGCTGTTACCTCCTATCCCTCATCACCTCCAGCCCTGAACAGCTACTAATTGGCTTCCTGCCTCTGTAACTTTTCCTATTCTGGACATATATAAATGGACTCATATATTTGGTCTTCTGTGACTAGCTTCTTTCATTTAGTAGAGGGTTTTCATGGTTGATCTATGTTGTAGCATATATCAGCACTTCACCTCTTTTTATAGCTAATATTCCATGGGAAGGATATACCACATTTTGTTTATTCATTCATCATTGATGGACATGTGGCAATTATGAATTTCCACCTTTTGGCAATTATGAATCATGCTGCTATGAACATTTTGTGTACAAATTTTGTGTGTGGACATATTTTCATTTTGCTTGGGAATATACCTAAGAGTGGAATTGCTGGGGGTCACATGGTAACTATGTTTAATTGTTTGAGGAACTGCCAGACTGTTTTCCAAAGTGGATGTACCACTTTACATTCCTAGCAGCGGTGTATAAAGGTTCGAATTTTTCCACATCCTTGTCAACACTTGTTATTTCTGACTTTGAGATTTTATTCTAGTGAGTGTGAAGTTACAGCTTGTGGTTTTGATTTGCATTTCTCTGATGACTAACGGTGTTAGTCATCTTTTCATGTGCTTTTTGGCCATTTGTATATTTTCTTTAGAGAAATGTCTTTTCAGATCCTTTGCCAATTTTTTGATTAAGTTGTCTTTTTATTATTGAGTTGTAAGAGTTTGTATATTCTAGTTAAATGTCCTTTATCAGATATTTTCTCCCATAATTTTTTCTTTTTCTTTTCTTTTTGTCTTTACTTTCTTGATAGTATCTGTTAAAGGACAAGTTTTTTATTTTGATGAAATCTAATTTATATTTTTCTCTTGTTGTTTATGGTTTTGGTATAATATCTAAAAAGCCATTGCCAATTCAAGATCATGAAGATTCACCTCTGTGTTTTCTTTTAAGCCTTCCATACTTTTAGCTCTTACATTTAGGTGTTCGATCCATTTTGAGTTAATTTTCGCATATAGTATGAAGCAGGGATTCAGCTTCATTCTTTTGCATGTGAATATCCTGTTGTCCCAGTTATCTGTTGGGAAGGCTATTCTTTCTCCCATTGAGTGGTCTTGGCAGCTTGTTGAAAATTAGTTGGCCATAAATGCATGGATTTATTTCTGGACTCTCAACTCTGTTGCACTGAGCTTACTGTACTACCTTGATCACTATGGATTTGCAGTAAGTTTTGAAATTAGGAAGTGTGAGTCTTCCCATTTGTCCTTTTTTTTCAGGATTGTTTTGGATTTTTGCCATTCCATATGAACTTTAGAATCAGCTTTTCAGTTTCTACAAAGAAGTCACCTGGGATTCTAATACGAATTGCATTGAATCAGTAGATAAGTTTGGAGAGTATTACCATTTTAACAATATTAAGTCATGATCCATGAACATGGGAGGTTTTCCCATTTATTTAGATCTTTTAAATTTTCTTGGGCGTCCCTGGTGGCGCAGTGGTTGAGAGTCTGCCTGCCGATGCAGGGGAAGTGAGTTCGTGCCCCGGTCCGGGAAGATCCCACATGCCACGGAGCGGCTGGGCCCATGAGCCATGGCCGCTGAGCCTGCGCATCCGGAGCCTGTGCTCCGCAACGGGAGAGGCCACAACAGTGAGAGGCCCACGTACCGCAAAAAAAATAAATAAATAAAAAAATAAAAGATTTCTTTCAACAATGTTTTGTAGTTTTCAGAGTATGAGTTTTATACTATTTTTGTTTAGTGTGTTCCTAAGTATCTTATCCTTTTTATACTATTTCAAATGTAATTATTAATTTCATTTTTGGAGTGCTCATTGCAAGTGGCTAGAAATACAATTGATTTCTGTATATTGATCTTGTAGCCTCAATCTTGTTGAAATCATTTATGATCTAATAGATTGTTAGTGGATTCCTTAGGATTTTCAGATCTATCTATAAGAGCATACCATCTGTGAATAGAGACAGTTTTATATTCCTTTCCAATCTAGATGCTTTTTGCTTCATTTTCTTGGCTCATTGCAAGAAATTAGTTGAATGTTGCGTTAAAGTGGCAAGAGCAGATATCATTATCTTGTTCCTGATTGCAGGAGGAAAGCACTCATCTTTTATCATTAAATTTGATGTTAGCTGGGGGTTCTGTAGGAGGTTTATCAAATAGAAGAACTTACCTTCTAGTCCTACTTTGTTGTTTCCATCATGAAAGGGTGTTAGAATCTGTCAAATGCTTTTTCTTTGTCTATTGAGATAGTCATGTAGGTTTTCCCCCCAGGATTCTATTAATATGGCATATTACATTGATATTCACATGTGGAACTAACTTTGCATTCCTGGGACAAATTCTGATCGGCTGTGGTGTATAATTCAGTTTATGTGTAGCTGGATTTGGTTTGCTAGGAGTTTTGCGTTTGTATTCATAAGATATATTATTGGTCTTCAGTTTTCCTGTGATGTCTTTCGTTTTGTTACCAGGGTAATATTGCCCTCATAGAATGATCTGGGAAGTGCTCCCTCCTCTTGTGTTCTTTAGAAGAGTTTGGGAAGAGTTGGAATTGATTCTTCTCTAAATGTCTGGTAGAATTCTGCAGTGAAGCCACCTGGTCCTGAGCTTTTCTTGTGGGTAGTGTTTTTATTATTAATTCAAATTCTACTTATTATAAATTTTATTCAGATTATTCCTACTTGAGTCATTTTCAGTAGCATGTCTTTCTAAGAATATCTCCATTTCATCCAAGTTATCTAACTTATTGGCATATGATTGATCATAGTATTCTTTTTTTTTTTTTTTTTTTGCGGGGCACAGGCTCCGGACGCGCAGGCTCAGTGGCCACGGCTCACAGGCCCAGCCGCTCCGCGGCATGTGGGATCCTCCCGGACCGGGGCACGAACCCGTGTCCCCTGCATCGGCAGGCGGACTCTCAACCACTGCGCCACCAGGGAAGCCCGATCATAGTATTCTTTTAAAATCCTTTTTATCTCTGTAATACCAGTAGTGACGTCCCCACTTTTATTTATTTATTTATTTATTTATTTATGGCCACACCTCTTTGCTTGTGGGACCTTAGTTTCGAGACCAGGGATTGAACCCAGGCCCCAGCAGTGAAAGCACAGTCCTAACCACTGGATCACCAGGGAATTCCCATCTAGTCTTTCATCTCTGATTCTGGTCATTTGAATGTTTTTTTTTTTCTTGATCAGTCTAGCTAAAGGTTTCTCTATTTTGTTGACCTTTTCAACGAACCAGCTATTGATTTCATTGATTTCCTCTCTTTTTCTTCCGTTCTCTGTATCATTCATTTCTGCTCCAATCTTTATTTCCTTCTTTCTTTTTGCTTTAGGTTTAGTTTGCTTTCCTTTTTCCAGTGTCTTAAGGTAAAGGTTAGGTTATTAATTTGAAACCTTTCTTCATTTTTAACATAAGCCTTGACAGCTATAAATTTCTCTCGGGAGCACACCCCACTGTCAGTGGCCCTAAGCCCCAGTTCTCCTCTGATCTGGCGTTTGTCGGGAGGGGAAGGGATGAGGCGAAGCATTCCTTTGTTGTCGAATGATAGAGGCCCCGCCTCATCCAGGGCCTGCAAAGACCCCATTTTATCATGGAGAGTGAATGGGGCAGAAATGGATGCCCCTGTGGACCCAAGGGAAGCAAAGGCAGAGTCAGCCCTTCCTGCAGACCCCTCAGCAGTCTGGCCTGAGGGCACACTTCCAACAGAAAAGAAGCGGGAAGACAAAATGAGGACAGAACTGGGAGGACTTTCGTTCACGGAATGGGGAGACCCTCCAGGCAGCCACCAAAACCAGCACATTGCTAGCCCAGAACTTTCTCTGAAGCAGAAGCAAAGGCACACATCTTTTTAAGGGGCTTTGCTTCTCAGAGCTGGAGCTTCATTTAAACTCTCCGTCCCTGGAGTTGGAAGCAGCTCATTTGCTTGTTAGTAGCTTTGGCCGGAGGTCAAGGTACCGTGGACAGATTGACCTCAGGAGTGGAGTGGTCCTTAGGGGACATCTCTCCTCACCCGAGAAGCATCCTTTCTCTTTGTCGCCTCTCTTCCTGCCTGCCTGGCGTCTTTTCTCTCTTGTGTGGCCTCATCCTGACTGGCCTTCCTTTCTCGTTGCCAGTGAGCTTCGCTGCTCCTGCCGGGGTGTTACGGGGAGAAGAGGAGGTGTCACTCCCTCCCCTCCATTCATCGCTCCTAACGCCCAGGTGCCTGTGAGAACCAGGAGTGGAGCTCCCTACCCACTGCTCTGCTTTGTTTTTGCCCCCAGGAACTCCTGCACTATTTAATCGGTACCCTGCTTCTCCTAATCGCGTCCATCGTGGCAGCTTCCAAGAGTTACAACCAGAGCCGACTGGTGGCTGGAGCGGTGAGGACATTCTCCGGGAAGCGGCCGGAGTGAATTCCTGTGCCGAATGCTCATTTTCTTCCTCTCAGGGCAGCAAAGGGGTTGTTCTCTGGGGCCTTTCTTTCTCAGAATCAGTCCGGACCTTGATCCACCAGCAGTGGCCTCCAAATAGCCTTAAACTTGGGCCCACGGTGGAGGGTGTCAGAAGGTGGATGGGCAGGGCTGTTACGAACTCAAATGGCCCCAGCGGCCCAGGCCTCTTTCTCTTACAGCCACTCCTTAAATCAGGGGGCAAGTAGGTTTTAATTCTCATGTTCACTCTGGTCATTTGCTCATGGCTGTCTCAGCCCCATTCAGGGAAAGGTTCTGAGGCCTTTTTTCAGCCCAGGGGAACATTATCGTGATCAGCTAGTGATAATCTGCCGTGAGTCCTAGCTTTGCCATTCCTGACTTTTAACAGTATTCAGGCCAGGAAATAACACTCCTATACCTTTCATAGGTGAAAATTGACCCATCTGCTAACCTGAATAGAAGTAGCATGGAAGTGGACAAAACATCGTGCTGTGGGAGCTAGATTTATCACACAGATACACACATGTGTATATACATTATTGTAAAAAGATCTATAGGTTGCTGTCATCTGATTTCTGATTTAGCTAATTGTTTACAGTTTGGAAGTCTGTAGGCCAGAACTGATTTGCTTCGCTTTTCAAATGAGTTTTAAGAAAAGCTCTCTGTGTGATAGTCACTCACTTCCACACGTTACCAAAATTCTCTGGACTTTGGGCCAAGAGTGGGTGAGTGCCTAGAATTCCACGGAGGGGTGGAGTTTGCACAGGGCAGAAGGTCACCGCGGAGGGGTGGAGTCTGCACGGGGCAGAAGGTCACCGTGGAGGGGCAGCCAAAACCCTGAGCACTCTTGCCCCTTAAGTACCTTCCCCCCCTCCCCAGGCAGTTCCCAAGAAGAGGAATGGTTGCCCCCTGCCCAGCTGCAGGCAGGCTGGCGGAGGGGGGGACAGAAGAGCTTGGCGCCCGCTGTGTTTCAGGACCATGTGGGGAGATTCCCAATGGGTTTCCTCATTGAGGTGGCACATGACAGTGTTAGCCCTGGAATCCCAATAAACCCCATTTGTCGTACACGATCTCTGTGCCTAGGACCAAGCATGGGCCGGGCGAGGGGCCAGAAGAAATGAAAAGACATGGTCCCTGCTGATGAGAAAGTGGTGATCTAGCTTAGGAGGCCAGGGCACATGAAACAATTAGCACACAAGGCACTGTCATCCAGAAGAGCATTGTGTAGCCCTATAATAAACTGTTCAGTTATGCAGTGTGGACAGTTGGAGACTGGGATGGTGTATAATGTGCTAATTGTGCGGAACGGACAATGAGAGGCCAGGACAGGCTCTAATAGGCTGATTATGTGGTGCAGACAATTGGTACAAAAGGAGGCACAGCAATGGATGGGGTCTGGGGTGGGGTGACGGGCAGCCACGTGTGGAAACCAGCAGCTAGGCTGGATGATCCTGCGCTTGGTCTGGCTGCTCCTGGGCTGGACCTCAGGGAGCTAGCTCCCAGCCGTGTACTTGGAGGGCCCGAGGACACCTGGGCAACAGGCAAGCAGAGGTGGACTCTGGGCTCAGATCTCTGGTCTGGCCCTTGCTGGCTCCACATTCCTGGGCTGAAGAGTTGACCTCCTGTCCCTGGTTTCTTGAGTTGAAAAATGAGTGGGGAGAGGTAACAGCCGTGCCCACCTGGCAGAGCTGTGCGGGTTCCTTTAAAGGGCTTAGAACACGGCCTGGTACGAAGTAAGTGCTCAGTCAGTGTTAGCTGCTGCAGCTGCCAGTGTTGTTGACAAGTCAGGAGAGGCTGCAGGCTTCCAAGTTCCAGGCAGAGACACCTGAGTCCCTGCCTGCTTCTTGCTCCATCATTTAATGAGCCACCGTGAGGCCCTTTCCTTATCACAAATGAGGCAGCTGCTCTGGGCTAGGTGCTCACAGTTGAGCACAGAAAGGAAAGGAGCGCTGCCTGAACTTACTTCAGCCTAATGTTACTTAAATACATGCAAACCTAAGACTAGGTATTGGGGCCTCAGCTTCTGGCTCCGACACAGCTGTAAAGCCAGCCAGACAGAAAGCCTTTATGGATGAAGTGCAGATGATGCTACCACACCAAAAAAATCCATTTGAACATTAATGTGTTAAAAACCCAAATTAAAATGTACTGTTCCTCCTTTTTCTGTCTTATTAGCCCAGGATAATTAAAGTCCGGTGGCTTGGCCCCAGCTCGGTTGTAAACATAAACCCGAGCGTGGGCAGGTAGCTGCCTAGAGAAGAGGCGAGGGGTGGCGACCGGAGGCCTGACTGTGTCCCAGCTGGGGGCCCGGCCAGGGCCCGGGCGTCACCTCCACACCTGAGCGAGGACGGGTGGCCGGGTCACTTGAGTTCCTGAGCTCCCTCCCAGCCACAGCTGGTATAGGAAACAGGCCCAGGGATGAGCAGCAGAAAGGGCTGCCCGAGTGACTGCCCTTGGCCTGGGCGCCTGCTGCCCCCTTTCTCCTGTGCAGATCTTCGGTTTCCTGGCCACCTTCCTCTGCCTGGCGAGCGTGTGGCTGTCCTACAAGATCTCGTGCGTGACCCAGTCAACAGGTGAGTTCTGGTCTGCAAACAGATGACCAAGAAGGTTCCCTCTGCTCAGGAACGGGAGGACACAGGCTCTGGAGCTCGGCAGTAGGGAACCACCCTGCTGCAGAGGACCCTCTGCTCCGTCTCGTCTCCACAGCTCCCAGGGGCACCCTAACATCTACGTCTCTGATGGCCAAGCGTTTTCTTTAAATGAGTTTCCTAATGCCAAAAATAAAATGTAGTACATTTAGAAAATCGAAATAAGAAAAAGAAATTTAAAAAAATAACCATTATCACACTACCCAGAAATAGCACCTGCTGGGTGTCTATCCCTCCTGCATTTCCTCTCTGAGTATATATAGAGAGAGATGTGCTTGTTTTGTTTGTTTGGCTGCCCCGTGCGGCTTGCAGGATCTTAGTTCCCCGACCAGGGAGTGAAACCATGCTCCCTGCAGTGGAAGCATGGAGTCTTAACCACTGGACCGCCAGGGAAGTCCCAACACATGTGCATTTATTAAAGGATCAGAGTTCATGTATTATTTTGTAACCTTCTCTTCTGCTCCTACCTAGCCTCCTGTCAGGCACTTTCCCCACATCATTAGGTGTCCTTCTCTGGCATCCTTCGTGGCTCCACGGTGTTGCACTGGCTCCATTGCATGTCGGTGCTGTAGTTTACTTGTCTCCTATTTGGGGGCATTATGGGTTTTTATTTTATTTTTTATTTTTTAAATTCTTTCCTACTAAACAGTGCTGTAATGAATATCCTTGTAAATATATCCCTATACACACACTTAATATATTTTATCTTTAGAATAAATTTCTAGAAATAGAGTTGCTGAAAATCAAACCAGCTATTTCGGTTAATTTACTTCTTTCTTTGATCCAGCACTTCCTTTCTTTCTTCTTTTTCTTTGTTTTTTAAAAATACATTTAAAATATCGAAGCACCTTACCTTGCCCAGCAGAGAGGTTGCCAACAGCAGCGCTTCGATCTTAATGGTCCCAATGGCAAAAAGCTAACAGAAGGCTAGGTGAAAGGAGCCAGTCACCAAGGACCACATATGGTAGGATTCCATTTAGGAAAAATGTCCAAAATAGACAAATCCACAGAGACAGAGAGTAGGGTAGTGGTTGCTTAGGGCTGGCGGGAGGGTATACAGGGGTGACTGCGCATGCCTTTGGTGCTTCTTTTGGAAGTGGTGAGAATGTTCTAAAATTGGGGTAGCTGCACAATTCTGTGAATATAGTGCAAACGGCGGAATTGAACACTTTAAATGGGTGAACTGTATGGTATATGAATTATATGTCTGTGAAGCTGTTTAAGAAAAAATGAATGATGAAAAAAGAATGCGAAAAAGTTAATAGGTAATGTCTAAAAGTAATCTATAAGTGTAAGTATACATACACTAGGTAAAATTACGGAGGAAGAGCCAAAACAAACAGCTGAAGAAGTTACAGTACCTCTGAGGAGAGGCCTGGGGTGGAGAGGAGCAGGGAGAGGAATCATCGGTCCCACGGGAGGTGGTGCGGGCGGTGGAGGGGGGAGGCAGCGCATGCGCCGCCGTGGCGGCCGAGCTCTCCCAACTCTGCCGCTTCCTTCCCCAGATGCCGCCGTCTGATGCCCTAACAGCCCGCCAGCCCTGTAGGAGGCGCTGCAGGACGTGTGACCCACGCTGATGGAGGGGCTTGAGCCGGCGGCCGCAGGAGAGACCGGGGTCTGGGTCCCCGGGCCGGTGGGTGCGGGACGGGCCCTTCCTCCGGCTCCTGAGCGGGTCCAGTCCCTCTCGCCAGCCTTTTTCACTTTCTCAGAGAATATTCCTCCCCGTCCGGGGAAGAAGAGCAGCCTCCAGGGAAATCTGATCTCTCCCTCCTGCTTTAGAACCGCCTCAGGGACTGATGCCCCCCTCCCCCCGTTAAGGTGAAGGGGTGGTTTTTGAATACTCTGCCGAACCCTTCCCCTCTCCCCAGACCTCGAAGGGGCGCTGCCTTAAATCCTCTTGTGAAAACACAGCCACCTCCTAATTTATCTCGCTTGGAAATCTGGTCTTGAAGGTACCCTCTTTCTTAAAGTGAGGCTTACGGGAGCACCATGCGGTCAGCCTGTCCCCAAATAGGAGCTCTTGGCTCCTTTCCTGTTGTTACCATTGTGTACGTGTTTGTGTGTTTTTAAATAAAATGTTGACTTGGCCAATTGCAGAAGGATTTCTTGTTAAGTTAGAAGAAGGCAGTGAAGTGAGTGCTACCTGGAGGCCCACTGGAGGTAAGAGGAGCAGAGGGTGCAGATGGTCCTGGCCTCTCAAGATTTGAGTATTTTCTTTCTTTTTTATAAATTATTTATTTAATTTTGGCTGCGTTGGGTCTTCGTTGCTGGGCGCGGGCTTCCTCTAGTTGCGGAGAGCGGGGGCTACTCTTCCATGCGGTGCGCGGGCTTCTCATTGCGGTGGCTTCTCTTGTTGCGGAGCACTGGCTCTGGGCGCGCGGGCTTCGGTAGTTGTGGATCACGGGCTTAATTGCTCCGCGGCATGTGGGATCTTCCCGGACCAGGGGTCAAACCCGTGTCCCCTGCATTGTCACGTAGATTCTTAACCACTGCGCCACCAGGGAAGTCCTTGTGTATTTTCAAAGTAAATTGATATAAAGGGTGGAAGCCAGTACTGTTTACACAAGACTCAAAAGCAACACAGGCAGCCTTTAAAAAGAGGGCAATTCTGACACATGCTACCCCATGGATGAACCTTGAAGATATTAAGTGAAATAAGCCAGACACAAAAGGACAAATACTGTATGATTTTAGTTACATGAGGTGCATAGCGTAGGCAGAATTCAGAGACAGGAAGTAAAATGGTGGTTGGTTGCCAGGGTCCGGAGGGAGGGGCCCTGGTGTGAATGTTTAATGCGTAGTTTCCATTTGGGAAGATGAAAACATTCTGGTTGGGACTTCCATGGTGGTCCAGTGGTTAGGACTCCGTGCGTCCACTGCAGGGGATACAGGTTTGATCCCTGGTCGGGGAACTAAGATCCCACATGCCGAGAAGCCAAAAAAAAAAAAAAAAGCATTCTGGAGATGGACGGTGGTGATGGCTGCACAATAATCTAAATGTAATTAATGCCACTGCGCTGTATAACTAAAATTTGTTAAAACGGTTAACTTTTATGTTACGTATATTTTACCACAATTTTTTTCTTTTTTTAAAGCAATGCAGGACCTTCTGTCTAAGGCACCTAAGTAGCTGCAAAGCTACTTGGGGAATGGAGGAAGGCAGAGGTCCAATTACGCACACCCCACAGCAGGCACCACAGTCCAGCAGAGGCCAGCGCCGTGTTCTGACAGCTAAGCGTCGCAGGTCTAAAGGATACAGGCTGCAGGACGTGTGTGTCCTCTCTACACCAGGTGCTCTCTGGGGCTGCTCACCCAGGGGGAGTGCCCAGGCGTTAGCCAAACTCTGTCCCAGCACAGGGAGGTGACCCACTGAGCAGACAGCTGGGCAGGACCAAGCCAAGGTGTCAGAGGAGGGAAGACAGGACCCATGGGGGGAGGATGGGAGTCAGGTACCTGCCCCAAGGACCAAGAGCCAGCCTTGGCTCATTGTGGCCACCGCAGGCCCGGGATAGGGTGTTGGCACCTGGGGCACTAGGGACACTGGGAGATGAGACCAGAGTGGGTCTGCTCACATCATCTCCCACGAGCGGGCAGCTCCTGGCCAGCAGAGACCTGGTGCCCTTTGTCCGGCAGACCTCTGCACAGGCGTTTTCTCACTACCCACAAGAAAGACTGCTGCTCAGAGAGGCTCTGGAAAACAGCTTAGCTGTGCTTCTCTCTGCAGGAGGGTGGCGTGCAGCCATAGTACCGCCTCTTTCTCTGAGGGCCCCGCTAGGAAGCACATCTATCCTGAAGGTCGGGCCGTGGAGTAGGGAGACCCAAGGAGACAGCCGAGGGGAAGTGAGGTTAGGGCTAGAGCTGGGATTTGAGTCCAGGTCCTCTGGCGGGGCCAGAGCCAGCCTGTGCCAGCTGGTTTCCTCCACAGGCGGGTAGCCCTGGTGTCTGCAGGAGGCCCAGAGAAGGAAACAAGTGTGTTCTTTTTTTTTTTTTTAATAAATTAATTTATTTATTTTTGGCTGTGTTGGGTCTTCGTTTCTGTGCGAGGGCTTTCTCTAGTTGCGGCGAGCGGGGGCCACTCTTCATCGCGGTGCGCGGGCCTCTCACTATCGTGGCCTCTCTTGTTGTGGAGCACAGGCTCCAGACGCGCAGGCTCAGTAGTTGTGGCTCACGGGCCCAGTTGCTCCGCAGCATGTGGGATCTTCCCAGACCAGGGCTCGAACCCGTGTCCCCTGCATTGGCAGGTGGATTCTCAACCACTGCGCCACCAGGGAAGCCCCGCAAGTGGGTTCTTGACGGAGGCCCTGGCCTGACACAGCCCTTGTGCTTCAGTGGGCCTGGCGGCTTCTCTTCCAGACATGGTGACCTGCTCGGCCCTCAGCTTGGGCCTCCAGCCAGGATGCTCAGGTGACCCAGAGCTGCCCCACTCCCTGTGCCACCACCTCCCAGCCCTCTTCCTTAGCAAGGATAGCTAACTTCTTTTTTTTTTTTTTTTTTTTTTTTTTTTTTTGGGGGCCCCCAGGCCTCTCACTGTTGTGGCCTCTCCCGTTGCAGAGCACAGGCACCAGACGCGCAGGTTCAGCGGCCATGGCTCACAGGCCTAGCCGCTCCACGGCATGTGGGATCTTCCCGGACCGGGGCACGAACCCGTGTCCCTCTCAACCACTGCGCCACCAGGGAAGCCCCTGGATAGCTAACTTCTGTTGCCATGGAAACACCGCAGACCTTTGGGCCCCTTCTCAGCTCTGTCTTTTCCCCACTGTAGTGGTTTCTGAACTGCAGCCTGTGAACTCTCACAGGTGCTCCGAGGAGCTCACAGATGTCGATTTTATGTGCAAAATATATGTTAACATCTTAAAACGCACACTCTTCTGTTATCAGTGGCAAACACTGAACGGTGGGAACCCCTGGGCCGGCCGTGCTCCAGCACAGGCTTCCTGGCCTCATGCAGCCCTTGGGGAAGGCTGGCCTTGCACCTGGGCTGGTCCAGGGAGACGCCAGGAGTGGGAGGTGAGTGGCTGAGAACCTTCCACGACGTCCTGGGCGACCCAGGCTTCCTCCAACTCCTGCCACCAGCACCAAGCAGCGGAATGAATGGAAGATGAGGCTGCAGCCCCAATTAGCTCCTTACTCCAAATCATACGCTTTTCAAATTAATCCCATTACTCTTCTAGACTCACTTCATAATAAGTCAATGTTATAAATGTAAATGAGTAATTTATATGAATACTATATTTCCTGTTTTATATAATGGAATTTCATGGGGGATTTAGATTGAGAAAGGGGATTTCTCTGCTTTAAAAAAGAAAAAAAAATGTCAGGCACCCCCTGCACTGAAGGGAGCTGCCAGGCTGCCCACGAGGCACCAGACAAACGGACACAGCGACCGGCCCAGGCTGGAGCGGGCAGGACACCGGGAGAAACTTCCTCGGGAGACCGCGGTGAGAATACCTGGTGCCTCTGGACCTTGTAAGGAGACTGAGGCCATTGGTGGCTTGTTGAGGATTTACTGTAATTTTCTGTATAGATAAGTAATTATGCCCCCAAAAAAGAGACCATGATTAATATATAAAGTTGTGCAAAAGAGGAAATGCTATGGTATGAAGCGTTGCGCAGGGCTCAGTTCTGAAGAGTGATAGCAGCCAGGAAAATGGGCACTCTATTGATCTGACCCAAACTGTAAAAAGGAAAAAGAAACCCTCATTCCCCAAGTGACTGAGAGAAGTGGAAATCTGGATTTTTTAGGCCAAACAAAACTTGCGTGGGGCTGGCTGCGGCCTGCGGGCCCCAGGTTTGCTACCCCGCCCCGGGGCGGCGGTGCTAGGGCGGGTGGGCGCGGGTGGGGGCGGGGGGGAGACGCAGGAAGTCAGCTGCTTCCTCCCGACCGCTGGGCGGGGGCGGGGGCGGGTCCCGGTCCCTCCCCGGGGAGCGGGAGCCGGGTCCCCAGCCCGAGGCGCGCTGCCCGGCTCTGCCGCGGCTCCCCGGGGGCTCGGCCTGCCTTTCTACGGGAAACTCACCGGGCCCCGCAGGTGGCCGCCCGCGCCCGCAGCGCCGCCTTTTGGTGGCCGCGGGGAGCCCAGTTCGTCCGACTCCAGGGTTCGGGAACAGAAGCACAACTTGCACGTTTTATTTGGACTTCAGGCGCTCAGATGAATCATAATCCTCTGGTTCGTGACCGCAGCCTCCATTTAACTGTAACTACACGCTTCCCATCCCCCCCCCCACCCCGGTCCTCTTCTCTTCCGAATCTACCATCCACCATACCTTTGCTTTTCTTATTACATAATTCTAGCGTCGCTTGATGTATTGCCTAAATTTAAAGTGCAGCTAAGTATGGCAGTTATTTATTAAACCCCAAGCTGTATGTCATCCTTACGCAGTGTTGCTGTAACAGACACCGCCTTTTGGGAAGCACTGGACATCCTCTTGATTCCCCCGGCACCGCGTGCCTGCCCTGCAAGGGCTGTGACCAGTTTCACTCCAGCGCAATCACGGAGCTGGGCTGCACGCTTCACTGACAGCTCTTGATTGTCACACCAGAGCTTTACTGTGGTCGCCGCCAGGGGTGTCCAGCTCGCAGGTGCAGGAGTTCCTGCCCCGTGGGGTGATGCTGGCTAATGGGACATAGGAGTCAGTGGATACATTTGTCCTCCTTCTCTCCTGGGACAGACTGTCCTGAGGCAGGTTTTATACAGTGTGTCCAAGGATAGTCCCGTGGGACCATGCAAATGATCACACAGGGTGGTCCACTTGGCAGCGCATCCTCCTACTGGCTGGTTCTCTCTCCTTCCCGGCTTCACTGCCCACGTAGATGGTTCATCTGGATCTGTGGGTACAAGCCGACAATATGCGGCGGCTGCACCAACAGCCTTACTCAGGGGCAGCCTCAGAAGGCGGTAGTGGAGATTGGTGGCCCCAGTGGCCAGAGCTCTGAGCATCTGACTCATCCAAGGAAAGAAAATACACAGCCTCAAGGGGGCAGTGAACGGCCAGGGACCCCAAGAAGTGGGTGGACAGAAAGCCACTAAGATTCTCAGATGATCAAGTCGTTTGAACAAGAGGTGAGTCACCTACCAAATAAAAATCCTGGGTAATGCGGCCACTGAATGCCAGGAAGAAGGCAGCCCAGGAAAACTCCCGCACAGATGCATCTATTTTACGACTAAAAGCCAAGTCAGGTGATTGACAGCCTTAAAGGGGCGGGCGGAGCGGACCAGCAGAGGCAGAAACCTGGAGCGAGTCCACGGCTCCTGTGCAGCGAAGAACTACTCAGCGTGAGCTGATACCACTCAGACCGGATAAACTACAGCCACGAGACAAGCAGCGACAAGACTCAGGTATAGGATCGGGTGGCTGGATTCATCCCCACCCAAGGGGAAGCCCTACATATTCCTAAACTCTATTATAGATACTGCCTGTAGTTTTGTGGGGTTTTGTTTGGTTGGTTTAGGTCTGGACTGTGCTTGCTGCTCTTTTGTAAGAACCTGCTCACGGGATCCGTTCATTGCATCCACTGTTGGTGTCTCATGTAAGGGGTCAGAGGCAGAGCCGAGGACAGGGTTTCCCCATAAAGCTCGCCGAGCATTTGAAACAGTGCCTTTTCCTGGGAGAAGAAAAGGTACAAGGTCTTTTCACCCAAGGTTTCGGATGGCCAGGGGTGCTTCGCATAGCTTCCAAGCTTCCTTAGAAGTTGCACCCCGCTGTCTGGCCGATGGAAGCTGGGAGTTTTACTGTGGACTCTGGGCGCTTAAATAAGAAGGTGGCCAATTTCATTTCCACAGTGCCCGACGTCTCCAAAGTGGATGGAGGTGCTGCTGCCATCCTACCTGGCCCTTAGTTTGCAGCCTGGGGTACTGCTAACACTTTATTTTTTAAATGGGGGCGTGGGGGGGTGAGGGACAGATGGAATCAGTTTGCCTTCACCTGGCACAGCACACAGCAAACTTATTGCCCTGAATTCTCCAGTGGGAGAGCATCAGTGGTTTGGACACACCTGGTATCATGTGAACTGTTGGTGGGTATGCAGGCATTGTAATGGCTCCACAGAGAAAACTACTTTGCTGCATCACCCAAGCACAGCTGATGAAAGACAGATGGGCCCCTCAATGAGGGCAAAATCCAAGTGACCTGCCTTCCAACTAACCATCTTGGGAGCTGCGTCACAGCCAAAGAGACATTTCACAATCAATTAAGGACAAACTTTGTCGTAGCCACTGCTTACCAAAAAAGGGGCCCCACCCCCAAACTGGCCACTTTGCATATTGGCTGTTGGAGACAGTAGTACATCCAAACCTGGAAATATTCCCACAGCCTCCACCCCAAGTCATCAGATGTGTGGCCACCTTTGAATGAGGGCCCCAAATAACCAATAATCTTGGAAGCCGTGTGGGCAGCAATGAAAGACGCCTTACCCTAGCACCTCTGTCTCCTTCAGACCTAGAGGAAGTGCAGGTGTCTGTGACCAACCGCACAGCTGAAGGGGGCCTTTGGCAATGCCCACTCCTCCAGTTCTCCTGGGACTCTGAGCTTTTGAACTTGAGAACTTTCTCCTACCGCTGAGAAGTGACTGTGAGAATGACTGAGCTCTAATCAAAACAGCCTCCAACTTGACATCCTGCAATTCTGAACTAAATTTGATAGGTGGGAAAGTTCTATCATGAAAATATCATGGATCTTCCAATTAAGGCCAGCCCCTAAGCCTTTAACTAACTTTACAAACAGGTGTCTTCCCTACTGGGCTGCTGGTTTCATGAAGGCCAGCTGACAAGAGTCAGTGACAAAGGAGCCCACTGACCTCCAAGGTGAGCAGGTCCTCTATGATGCTAGAGCCTTTCAGTGAGAGCAAACAGCCGATGGCTCACAGCAATGGATGTCCCTTGTGATGAGCTGAACTTAAGGTGGGACTTCTAGCCAGAGTGCCCCTCCCCCAGGATTTAATGAACAATATCTGTATATAAGCTCATAGGCTGTCACTAATGGCCGAGCTGTAATGGTCAGGTCTTTGGGCCACCCAGGACTGGATTTGTAAAGACATACCATATATTGGGTGCATACCCCTTGGAAACATAACTAATTACAGACTCAATATTTACATTATATGTATGTTTAGATGAAGCAACCACATCTAGAGAAAAGTGTTGAGTCAAACATATGTGGAAAAAGCCAACATGTGTGGACATCACCTCTACCACAGACCAGTGGACTGTGCTCAAGTCCACCATGGGTAAGCAACCACCATAAAGCTTGAGATGCCCAGTGAGAAATCATGCAAGCAACTCTTCACTGCAAAGACTTGTATTATTTGCCAACTATACCAGAGTCCTCAGTGATGACTTCCCCAGGGCCAGCTGGTCTGTCTTCACCTATTTACAACTTGCACAAGGTGATTACCGCCTCTGTCTACCTGAGCTCCTAGGTACTCAAGGACTTTTGCACCTGCTTTGACCTCAACAGATGACTGGGTGGATGTTTCATTTCATTCAAATCTATGTAGACAAACTTGGACACTTTGTCCCAGGTATTCTATGGCCACCCTCCTCTGCCCAGTGTCTACTTACACTGGAAAATGGCAACTCCTGAGTCCAGAAAGGAGGATGATGTGGCTCATCCCTGACGGGGGATGACAGGTCTCAACTGATCAGGTGTGAATATGCCTGACCCCAGAAATACACGGAGGTCAAGGGGACATGAGTAACTTTTTTTTTTCCCCTTTTACAAGTATGGACCAACAGTTTCAAATGTCCTTCCCCTAATCTTCTAGTTCTCATGATGTTGAATATGTCACCCTCATCTAACCCAGCTGCAGGGCCCCAGGGCCAGGGGTGGATTAAGACAAATTTGGATGGCCCTGGAGGTTCGGTTCCTCCCTCATTTTGGTAGCTTATTGGAGAGATGACTCTAAAGGTCTGAGTTAGCACAATGGAAAAACATACTGATTCCAGCCCTTGAGTTTTGTTTTGTTTTTTAAATTTTTGTTGGAGTATAGTTGTTTTACAATGTTGTGTTAGTTTCTGCTGTGCAGCAAAGTGAATCAGTTATACATATACATATATCCCCTCTCTTTTAGATTTCCTTCCCATTTAGGTCACCACAGAGCACTGAGTTACCTGTGCTATACAGTAGTTTCTTATTAGTTATCTGTTTTATACATAGTAGTGTATATATGTCAAGCCCAATCTCCCAGTTCATCCCACATCCCCTTCCCCACTTGGTAACCATAAGTTTGTTTTCTACATCTGTGACGCTTTCTGCTTTGCAAATAAGTTCATTTGTACCATTTTTCTAGATTCCACATATAAGTGATATTATACGATGTTTGTCTTTCTCTTTCTGACTTACTTTACTTTGTATGACAATCTCTAGGTCCATCCATGTCACTGCAAATGGCATTATTTTGTTCTTTTTTTATGGCTGAGTAATACTCCACTGTATGCACCACATCTTCTTTATCCATTTCTCTGTCAATGGACATTTAGGTTGCTTCCATATCCTGGCTATTGTAAATAGCTGCAATGAACATAGGGGTGCATGCATCCTTTTGAATTATGTTTTTCTCTGGATATATGCCCAGGAGTGGGACTGTCCAGCCCCTGAGCTCTTGAGGGTCTCCTTTTCCAATAAGGCCGCTCTTCGAGAGAGCTTCCATTCTTTGAGAGTTGAATGATTATTCGAGTGCCCCCTGTACCTTCTGTACATAAACATGGGAGCACCGTGGGGTGGGGTCCCCCTCTGCCTGTAGTCTGTTTATGTCCTGAACAAACTATAGGCTAATGAAAGCTTAGGGAACTGCACACACTCAGCTTCTAACCTGCTTGATTCCCCCCAATATGCCTTACTTATATCTGTACCAAGAGGCACAGTGTCATATTAAATTGGATATCTTTCCATATCAGCAGAGAATTTCTGTATTCCATTCAGTGAACGTATTCCCCTGTAGATTCACATTTGAGGGAAAATAGCCTTTAATCAGAGGATGCCCATCAGGGTGGCAGCTATCATCCTTCATTGTGAGGGCATGTGCTCAAGGAAGTAGAGACATGGGTGGGATGTTAAAACAGGATAAAACAGGGACCTGAAAAGCACTTTCCCTTTGGGGCTTGTCCCTCTTGCTTCTCCCACTGCCATGAGAACATGTTTGGGCTAGCCTGCTGGCA